GTGTGGGTCAGGGCTCTCCTAAACAGGTCCAGGTTCAAGATTAAGGAAAGTTTTATTATAGGTTGGCCCTGGGAAAGACTCATTTTTGTTTCATGGGGTGTAAAGAGAAACTGCATCTCCAGGATTGCGCTGCTGCGTAGACAGTAACAGCGCGGTGCCGTGGCCGCGTGCGGCTGTGTGATAAATCCTGTTATTCAGGCATATTTAAATGGTATGTCAGCTGCCAGAAAACCCGTGTTTCACTGGTGTCATCATTGGAAGCTCGTATTTCATGGCCATGGTTTTGCTATTGAAGTAATTTTTTAAACTGTAAGTTTTCAAACGTGCTACAAGAAATCTCCCCGTAAATCAGCTCTGCACACAAGTTACGAACAACAAGAGAAGAGCCAGGAAGCTTCTCTACGCTTTCTCCTTTAACCACTTCCACCCAAGAGTAGCTTTAATGAAGGAAAGCACTTGTGTTTGGGGACTTGGTAGCAAAGTCAGTTAGGGAATTAAGTTTTCACACCAAGAGACCTTTGCAGAAGCCTCAGCTGCTCCTGTTGCACCCCCCTAGCAACGCAGTAGCCCGTGGATCAGTAAAATAACCACAGGTTGCCACTGGAACTGCTCATACGTTACCTGTGTCAGACTGACTTAACCTCTCATCGCTGCCCGTGCCGGTTATACATCAGCCTTGTGTTGTTCCTTCTCTTTTTATTCCAGCCAAACCTTTTCCAAAGGCCTCTTCCCCCAGCCACAGCCCCTCCAGCAGTTACGTGAAGAGCACTTCATCTTCCTCCACAGGCTTCGACTACTCCCACGATGCCGAGGCTGCGCACATGGCTGCCACTGCCATCCTCAACCTCTCCACCCGCTGCTGGGAAATGCCGGAGAATCTCAGCACCAAGCAGCAAGAGGCCCCCGGCAAGGTGAGCCACACCACCACCCAGCAGAGTGGGTTAAAACTGAAGTTTGGGATGGGAGAAATACCTTTTTTTACTCTCCCTTTCATTTTAATCTTTAAATATAGAGGGAATGCAGAGACTCATTGTCCTTTTGCACCCTGCTTTGGGTGGTGCAGTTTGGAGGAGGTGATCTTGACTCCTAGTGTGTTGTGGAGGCGCATCATGGTTCAAATCATAGAATCTTAGATGGTTTGGGTTGGAAGGGACCTCAAAGATCATTTAATTCCAACCCCCCTGCTATGGGCAGGGACACCCTCCACTACACCAGGTTGCTCAAAGCCTCATCCACCCTGGCCTTGAGCACTTCCAGGGATGGGGCAGCCACATCTGAGAAGAGCATCATTCTTCTCAGGGCTGGTTTCACTTGCTCACTGATGCCATTTGAGATTCCCCAGTTGCGTCCAGGCTGACCTCCAGCTATTTTTCAGAGGAACACAGGTTTTCCAGAAGTCCCATGTTGCACCCCCAGCCTTGGGCAGCTGTCTTGCATGACATGGGGCATCTTAAATGGCACTAGATGGCTGTGTTCCAGCAACTGAGTCAAAATGCCATGTTACTGGTAGTAGAGTAGTGCATTTGCATGGCATGTTTCTGAAATATTTATGAAAGAGCATCCCTTCCATCCAGCTCCTTCTAACCGACCGTGGAGGGGATGGGACATGAATAACCTGCCCCCCTCACTGCAAAAGACAAAGAGGGGCAAGGTCCCCATAGGGAATTGCTGGTAACATTGGGCATGTTTCCAACCTTTCAGTCCATGGACATTGAGGTGGACGAAAATGGGACTCTGGACTTGAGTATGAACAAGCACCGCAAACGGGAGAGCACCTTTCCCAGCAGCAGCAGCTGCAGCAGTAGTCCCAGCATGAAGTCCCCAGACGTGTCCCAGCGCCAAAACAGCACCAGTGCCACAAGCAGCACCATGACCTCCCCCCAGTCCAGCCAGACCTCCCGCCAGGATGAATGGGATGGGCCCATTGACTACACTAAACCAAACCGTCAGCGGGAAGAGGAGCCAGAAGAGGTGAGTGGTGACTCTTGATGTTTAAACAATGCCTCATAGGGGATTGAATGCCATGTTTGCTCGCACAGTTGTCCTAGAACTCCTACTTTGCCCTTTCAGCCTAGGAGACAAATATTATTAGCTTTGTCAGTGCTACCAGACATCAGCTGTGGACAATGAGGCAGGAGGCAGAGCTGTCCTGGGGTGAACGCGGGTGCTCTTGGCTCCATGGGGATGCTCTTCCCAATGAAGAACCCACGACTTGCGTTGTCCTGGGTCTGCAGTGCTTTCTTCATTGTAAATCCTTTCAGCTCATCTGCACCAGTGATGCTCCTGGTGACGTTCCCCAGGATGATTTATATCTGCCATTAGCAGATGCCACCAACATTAGTCCTTGCAGGTGGGGGGACTCAACCATTCCCTCTTGGCTGGGTTGAGTGTCCTGGCACTGGAAGCAACGCACTGCATCTCTGCCTGTGGGGAGGCAGGTGCTCTGAGGATGAGTATGGGGGGATTGCACTGATCATCATCCCTTCAAGACCTTGGGAGAGGCAAGTGTAAATGCCTGTACAGACACATGTTACACACTTCTCCTATAAAAAGGGGAAATTACAGACTATTGGATCTCTGGTTTGGGTACTGTGAGGTGCTCGCAAAGGGCTCAGGAGTGTTGGCAATGCTGCACTAACTGAGATGAACCTGAGATCCTTTCCCACCACGGCTCAGCAGCAATGACCACCACTACAATTACTTTTCCTGGCTGTTTTCTTGCAGTCAGAGCCTGCCGCCCACTCTTTTGCCTCCTCGGAAGCTGATGAGCAAGAAGTGTCGGAGGAAAACTTTGAAGAACGAAAATACCCAGGGGAAGTTACTTTAACAAACTTCAAGCTTAAATTCCTCTCCAAGGACATCAAGAAAGAGCTGCTCACGTAAGTCCTGCCTTCTTGTCTCTTCCTCCAAAATGTATAAGACATTATACATTCGGACAGCCCAGGACAGCCAGACTGGTAGGAGACAAAATTTACTAGTGAATACATTTTAAAATTAGAAGTGTAGCTCCTTTTCTTACTTGGTCTTATCTTATCTAAGTGGTTCAACTGAAAACTCAAAGAGGAACCCTATCCTCATACAACTGCAGATTGTTGGGGCAAAATACATTCCCGTATGGCCTTGAAACTCTGAGGTGATGAAAGGAACTTTCCGGGGAGCTTGGTGCTCTAAGGATTCATGGCTGGGGCTGTGGAAACCTCCTTGCAGGGCTCATTTTCCCTAGTATTTTCCTGCAAGTGTGTTTCTGGCACAATGATGGAGCCTGCCCAATCTCCTGCCCCCTTATTTTGGGACAATGGGTGATGCTGTGGAGCCCAGGGCACCCAAGGGATCTCAGTACCTTCTTGATGGGGGTGTTGAACCACAAAGTGCCTCGTTGGGAAGGCAGGATTTGTTGGCTGTTTAACGTAGAGCGATGAGTTCCATCACCGTGATGCTGCAGGGCCACAGGATGTGGACTAGGGCTGCAGCAAGATTGCTGTCACGCTGCACCTTACGTTGGAGGGAGAGATCCTAACCCAGCTCACATCTGTGTATTCATGGCATTGGGCGGGTGGAACTACTGATCCAGATCTATCCCATTGGACGGAGCGTTGCTCTGCATCCGCACCGATCCCCCAAACCAAAGGTTAGTTTTTGGAGTCTGACCCAAGGGCTGCAGCTGGGACCTGGCCCTGATCTAACAGCTGGTGGGGATCAGTCTGGAGGTTGTGATGGGAGGGGAGGTCTCTCCTCCCAGGCATCCCAGCAGATCTGCCGTTCTTGGCTTTTTTCCTGTGCGTCTGACCTTCCGATCTGTTAAAGAGGGAAGAGGCGGTGGGCGCCGTTTTGCTGACCTTACACATCGTAGCTGGTTATTTGGCTACGCGAGCAGGAGGCAGAGGGATCCGTGGGGGCAGAGCAGCAGCAGCATCTTCCCTAAATGAGCAAAGCACAGACCAGCTGCCTGATGCAAAGCTCTAAAGGCTTTTTTTAAACCCCAGCAGCGATGTGAATAGCAATTTCTGAGGTAGAGCCCTGAAGTCCTCCTGTGCTATAATTGTATTACAAGGGCAGAGAAATTTCCTAAATGGAAACAGCCCTGGAATAAATAAACAGTGTCGTGGGCAGCCCTGAGCCTTCTCTCCCCATTTAGCATCCTTGTTCCTTTCTGGCCCCAGGGCTGTAATGAATTAGCTGTAGTTAACTCAGGAGCAGACTCGCCTGCTGTGTCTGTTCGACGCTCCGTGTCTGGGTGCAGTTCTTGGGCCATCTCCAGGCATTGATGACAATCAGTGAAGGTGCTCCTCACATCTATCTTCTCACTGCCCTGCTGTCAGCACACGAGTGGGTACCACGTAGCCATACATCACTGCTGCTCAAACATAGAGTCATAGAAGGGTTTGGATTGGAAGGGACCTTAAAGATCATCTGGTTCCAAACCCCCTGCCATGGGCAGGCAAACCTTCCACTAGACCAGGTTGCTCAAAGCCTCTTCAGTCTTCAGCACATCTTCATGTCAGCGCTGGATCTACAGCTCACGGTGCTTATGTGGGTGTTGTGGCTGTGAAAAGGACCCAGGGGTGAACAGGGAAAATAGCTGCATCCCCAAGACTCAACCTGCCAGGTCAAATCGTCCCAGGACATCCCTGCTCTCTCATGCACCCCCTGGCCTCAGGCAGGCAGGCAGGACACGACTGTGCCAGAGCCTCACCGCTCATGCACAAACTGAATTTTATTCCCTGGACACCAAGAAGGGATGATGACACCTCTTCCCATCACTCGCACGAGTGCAATTCCCGGGGCAGGCAGCAGGCGGGACGCGGCAGCTTCTGCCTGTCCTCAATTTCGGAGCCCCCAGGTACACGAGGCAGAGGTTCCTTTTATTCCCTTTCTGGAGTGAACAGTGTTTTCAAGCTTTTCTTTGCAGCTACAAGGGCTGGGAGGAAAAAAAAGAAAAAAGAAATCCTTTTGGAAAGCTAAAATCTGATGCTTTCAGGGAACAAGCTGATTCCCGCAGCCAGAGCTTCAGTATTGCAAAAATCACCCAAATTGGCAGCGCCAGGACGGCGGTGCTCGTGCCTGTTTGCTCCTGCCACCCACTCAGCTGCTCTAAGTCGTCCACAGCCACCGAGCAAACCAAGTAACTAAGCATTTTGAGCACTTTCTTCACATTTGCTAGGAAGTTTTCCCAATTTTTTCAATTTTTTTTCAGGATCCTTGTGATCTTTTGGCAAGAAAAAAGGAAAGAAAGGGAGGTGAAAGGGAAACAGCTGGTTTATGTGCATGCAAACATATAAACACCTGCTGGGGTGCAATGGAAGGAGCTGGTGTAAGGGGTCTGGCACCGGGGCTTTGTGGATCCGTGGCTCTCGGGTGAATCCGTTCCTTCCCAGCACTTACACTCGTTGTTGTTGTTGTTGCCCAGTTGTCCAACCCCAGGCTGTGACGGCAGCGGACACATAACAGGAAACTATGCCTCTCACCGCAGGTGGGTTGACCTTTTTTTCATGGTTTGGACTCTAAAGACAACTTTGTTTTTCTTTTAGTATATTTTTTAACCATGTGGATAGTTTGGTTCTGTTTCCACCCCACCTTCTGTTGCCCCTCTCCCTTCCCAAGCCCCAACCCTTTTTCTTTTTCCTTTTTTCCTTTTTTTTTTTTTTTTTTTTTGCTTATCCAGATATTCCATCTCTTCTCTTTCAGCCTTTCTGGTTGTCCTCTTGCTGACAAGAGCCTCAGAAACCTCATGGCTGCCCACTCTGCTGACCTCAAGTATGTTTGCGCTCAACTTGGAACTCCTTTTTTTTTCCTTTTTTTTCCACCCTTTTTTCTCTCTTCCTTCTCCCTGTCCTCCCTTCCTCTTGCTCTGCTTTTGCTTTTCCATCCCCTCCCTTCTCCTTTCCAAGAGCCGCTCAAAATCTGCCAGCGAGGAGTTCTGGTGGAGCCCAGCCTCCAGCTGCCACGTTGGGAAGAGTCACCATCATGGAGCAAGGCTTATTTTTGGGGAAGAGGGGGATCACGGCAGTGATTAGAAATAACCTGGAGCCCTGGCAGGTTTCCTTTGGGCACTGTAGAAATATGCTATTCCCTTCTTGATTTTTGCATCTTTTCCCAAGCTCTCGTTTCCCGAGTGTGTGCCATAACCCTTCTCGTTCAACGCTTTTGTACAGCCCTCAGACAATCCAAAGCCTGGACAAAGGCACACGCTTCAGTATTGGATAGAGACCCAGCTGGGAAAATACTGCCAGGACATCGCGAAGCCAACTCTGGGAGAACAAGGATGCTAATTTTATGCTAAATTTTAGGGGCTGTTCGGGATGCAGGGACAGAGATTCCTATTCATTTCCATGGGAGTTTGATTTGTGAGGGAAGGAAAAGAGGGAACAAGCAAACATTTGGTGAGGCCGGATCCTGAGCCGGTGGCAAAGGGCTCACGGGCACTCAAATATCTTTGTTCCCATTTCTGCTCCTGGTGAGACGAACCTAGTCTTGACGTTTTCATTCAAGTATTTTCTTCTGAATCCTGTTATCATCTTTGCTGTTGTCTTCCCAAAGCTCCCCATTTTTACTAGGAGCTTATTCTTCACACGAAAGTTTAGCAAATTCTCTCTTAGGTTGCCTCCCCTAAAGAAAGTTTCAATAAAAATGGTATTTAAAATAGATAGAGAGACTGGGGGAACCTGAACCATCCCCCGCCCAACCTACAACTTTGGGGTAAAGCTAATTGTGAATTTTTTTCCACCATCACTTCCATGGAGCCAGCCTAGTTTTGGAGGCTGATTCTCCTCCGAGCTCCCTGCTTTGCTGAATCCAGTTTCACAATTATTTAGACACTGAAATATTCGTAACTGAAAAACCTCTACCAAGAGTAAAACTTCATGGGACACTTCATATTGCACAGGCTCATCATAAAAAAATAAATATGTCCTGTGTCCTGTATGCAACCACTGATGTTTGGAGCCATGGTAAGAGTAGTCGAGTCAAGAGGGAGCCCCTTTGGTCATTAAGGTGGTCAGTAAAGCCCCAAATCCCTTTTTGGTGGCCCAGAGGGCAGCGTGGGTCTGGGACTGCTCTGCACCCCAGCGCCGATGCAACTGCTGGTGCCAGGAAAAATGTTTGTTAACTGCCTGCTCCTTATCATAGAGGTGGAAAAAGGAGCTGGATTAGTTGATATTAATAGAATATGCTAGTGGAGGGAAAGGACTCGCATGATTAGCGCTAAGTACACTTAATCACGCATTATAGACGATATACATTTTGAAAGAACCTCTTAAGAGAACTTTGCTGAACTGGTGTTTCTCCAACAGCCTTAAAGAACAGCCCAGTGATCAGGCAATTAGCGTTAAAGATATTAAAAGCTCTCGGGAACAATGCTGGTTTCCAGTAGGGGTCCAGAGAAAAAGCAAACGGGGTCGTCACTGAGACTGAGCATCACGCCGAGCCGTGCGGCATCCCCTGCTCCCCTTGGGCACCTGATGTCAGCACTTTTTATCAAAATACTATATAAAACAGGAGACTTTTGGCCAAAACAAAGCTTTTTAATGTTATTTCCCAGTTCTGGTTGTTTTTTTTTTTTTCCTATGTCCTGGTGAGGATGGGAGCAGAGGAGGGAGGAAGGGAAGAGGATTTGGAGATATTACAGATAGCGCAGTCATTGCTTTTCACAGCTTCAGATAAGGCCATGTCAGTGTTCTTATTATAAATTCTATTTCAGGGGTTAATATCCCTGATATAAAAAAAAATAGCTCCAGGCTGGAACATGCAATAAAAGGTCTCTGTCGGTATGATTTGCCTCCAGATAATTAAAAATAAAACTCAAATCACTTCTCTTCCTTTTTTAAAAGTCCTGAAAGGCAAAAGGAGTTCGGTGTTAGTGTTTTCATAATTTCATCCCACCCCGAAGCTAGAACAAATAGTTTTGCTTTCTATTCTAAAAGCATATAGGAGGGAAATGTCACAGTCATTTCCTGGGTCTGAGCAGGCTAAGCATCCATCCTGACTTAGTCTCCCTGTCAATCTTCTAGGACCAGGACATGTTCCTCCTCTCCCACCTTAGGTAAAGTGTCAATTTTTTTCACCAATGGAAACTCTTTGATGCCCCACAAATGCCAAATCCTCCCTCAGAACTAGTGCAAGGAGGAGAATTTTGATGTTTTCTAACAGAAAAAGAAGAGAACTTTTTAAAAGGCCCTTTTCCAAGCTGCAGAACTAAAAGCATCTGTGGAAGTCATTGCTCTGTTGACTCCCAGGGACCAGAGCAGCCCAACTATACCATTGCTTAGGTCAGGCACGAGCTTTCCCAAAGGCATCATCCTCGGGCTGCCCGTGCACCATCATGTGTTGCCCATCAGTTCACTTCGGGTGTCCAGGAGACACCAATCCCTGCTTTGTGGTAGGGTCTCAACCAGCGCTACCAAACCGGGTGCTGGTGGCTCCCACAGCGGCACCGTGGATTTCCTCCCCCCTGTCCTAATCACTTGACTCCACCAGCCCCAGCATCCTGGGCGAGCACTCCTCGCCTCTCCTCCTTGTCCCCATGACAACTTTTATGTCCGCCACGTCACCTACAGCATTCAGAGCACGTCTTTGTGCTCGTGGTACTTCATACCCCCTCACCTTTCTGGCTCCTGCTCCCCTAATGACGCGGCGCTGAACTCGTGCTGTTATCTTTGCCGGCACTCGCAGCCCCCGCCAGCCTTTGTGTAGGTTTGTGTGATCACAGGACTATTCTCCAGGCTTTGCTTTCAATCACGTCCCGCAGTGCTGGATGCTTACCTTCAAGTCCATGATCGTGGCTGCATCTTCAAAGACCCCTTTGTAACAGCAGCGGCTGAGGACCAAGGGGCAGGTTTTGCACCGAAGCACCAGAAGCTGCTGGTGCACCGTGCATGGTGACCTGGTGATCCCCAGCCCTGGGCCCTGCAGGCAGCTGTCCCCTTGCAGACCCCCTGTCCCTTGCCAATGGCGTTAGGGAAGGAGGAGACCCGAGGTTAACCTAACCTTTTCCCTCCTATTCCTTCATTACTTTCCATCAGGGGCATCAAATGGTTTTGGACTCTGAGGACTCTCCTGGGGTGGGGTGTCTGTTGCCTGCTATGAGATCAGCCCCAGCAAATCACCCCAAATTGAGATGAGACCCTCTGTTGGGCTTCCCCTTAGTGTTGGTCGAGGTGGCCCTGGAGGAGGAAGCTTGATGGCCAAGCTGTCCAGAGTTGCCAGCTAATTTCTAGTATCTTGTCTGGACTTGCATCCAGCCCAAGGGCCCTGGATGGTACCTGCCATCTCCTTATGTCTTCCCCAGGAAGACAGACACTGTCCTAGAGATCTTTTTTTGGCTCCTTTGTTATCATCTCCTGAGCTGTCCCTTTCATGAGGGTGAGGACAGAGGCTGGGACCCACGTCCCTGCTTTGGAGAGCAGCCACCTGCTGCCCTCCCAACATCCCCACCGCTTCCCACAGATGTTCCCTTCCAACGCCGACATCACGCAGCGATGCATCGACTTCGGTGTCGTGGATACGACAGACCAGACCTTGTTCTTACCGAGGGAGAAGGGGCAGGAAGAAAAACCTGCTTCTGTGTTGACAGTCCCCAGGTTTCCCTTTGAAACGAGCTGTCGCAGAGCGTCGATCCCCCCCTCGCATCCCCGGGCTAATCCGAGCATCCCTTTCCTCCGCAGGTGCCCTACTCCTGGTTGTGATGGCTCTGGTCACATAACAGGAAATTATGCATCGCATAGAAGGTAAGATCTCCCTCAAATTATTTTCTCTGTAGCCTCTTTCTGTTGTTTTTTTTTTTATTATTTTTTTTTTCCCCTGCAGTGGGCAGAGTTGTAAAGTTCTGAATAAAACATTAATGTTACTGACAACTGAAGCCTATTTTCATCTCTTTAATCTGACTTCTCTTTTTTTTTTGATGTTTCCAGCATCTGATTAGAAGCTCCCTTCAACAGAATAAAAGACAAAGGGTCAGATTTTAGCTGATGCAATGTTCCTGTTAATAATGCTACCTATTTATGACTTCTATTATCACTTTAGAGCATTAATAACAGAGATCTGAGCCTTCTGTTTCAACAATTCCATTAAACATTGCAGGCTGTTAGCAGATATCTTCTTATCTAGACACCATTAATTACTGTCCATCTCCCTCAATTTTTTTTTTTTTTTTTTTTTTCCTCCTGACTTCTCCTCGTGATGTGAAGCTGCAAAACGAGAGAGATCAAAAACACTGTGCGAAATTCAAGGGAAAGATGACTGAAGCGGGGGAATAGCAAATGCAGTGATTCTGCCAGTGAGACAGCCCTTTCTTCTCTTTTTAACCACAGTCTGTCAGGCTGCCCTCGTGCCAAGAAAAGTGGGATCAAGATCACCCCGACAAAGGATGATAAAGAAGACCCAGAGCTGATGAAGTAAGTCTGGAGGAAACTCCCGAGCGGACCCTTTCGCTCGATCCCGTTTGCCTCGTACAGATTTACACGGAGGGGAGCAGCATCCGTCCCACATCCCACCCTTGCACCCACTGCTGAAGCTCTTCCGCTGCTTCCCAGGGAAATTTTCCCTCGTCCCCAAAATGGTGTTCCAATTTTGCAACTTGAGTGGAAAATTGGGTGGTGGGGAGGTAACGGTGTGGGGGTTTTTTTTTAGTTGTTTTTGCAGATGTGAAAGGGAGGCTGGTAGGGCACGAACAGTCCCTCTCCTACCTGTGCTTTATAGAATCCCTGGAAAAATCACCAGTGTTGTAAAAGAGGGTAAAAACCCACAGTCAGGGAAAACATTGTAGGTTTTCAGGCAGGCGAGGGGTGCTGGCAGGCTCACTTAACTCTCAGGAGCACAGCAGAAACAGAAATTATTCAGCGCCGAGTCGGGTCAGGATTCGGTAATGCTAAATAAGACACGTTTTGTAGAGTCTAAAAGCCTTTTTCTGCTGCCTCAGGCTGAATTTTTCAAAACATCCCAGAGGGTTTATTCCTACTGGGAACAGAGATTTTAAATCCCTTAGTCTGCCTCAGGAGCTTTTGTTTGCTGTGAAATCCATGCATCCTGACTTTTAGCAAGCCCGAGCATCCCGGGCTCAGCATCCAGGGCCTGATTCGAGGTTCGGGGTCCAGGTGCTACAGGACATCAAAGCCTTTACGGCAGGGCCAGGGCCAGCATCTACTCCAGGATCCTATTGTTTGTTAACCCAGAGCATCCCTAGCCTTTCCAGAGTCTGTCGGCTCACCCAGAGCATGCAGGTGGAGAGGGATAAAAAGAAACATGGAAAAACTTATCAACACCCTCCAAGAGTTTTTGGATGCCTGTGAGCGCTGGCATTTCTGGCCAAACAGAGGACAGTCTGCTGTCCCCAAATGCATCTTTTTTCCCCCCTGTTGTATCCCTAGGGCAGGTCTTGCCCTTTCAGAAGGGCAGAGGTGAGTAATTCCGCAGAGACGGGTTTTGCCCTGGAGCCGGAGCGGGAACTGGTGGGTGCGGAAGAGCCCGGCGGGGGCTGCGGGGAACCGGGATGCGCCAGCAGGGAGAAGGACCTTTAAGAAAGAGATGATATTTGAGCCATCTGCTCTGTTCTTACTCCTCGGTCTACAGGAAGGAAAGCCTCCTAGTTAAATGAGCCGTGTGATAATTAGCAGGAGTTAGCGGAGTTTATTAAAAATTAAGCAACCTACTCGCGAATCTGTGGGGGAAAAAATCCTTTTTTTGGCTCAAATACACTAAATCACTGGCGGTGGTGTAATGCTGTGCCATGAACTGGGGACACAGCGAGGCAAAGGACAAGTGGCAAGCGCAGCCACGCGATGCCGTTTGCTGCTTTTACCGCAGCCGGAGGATGTTGCCTCTCTCCATGTTTTCCCCAGGGAAGTGTTCCCTGTGGGGCAGGAGAAGCGGTGGCTTTGCTGCTCTGTGTCTGCCCCGTTCAGGGCTGGGAATGGTCGTGGATGTGCCGAGCAGCTCTCTCCCAGCTGCAAAGGGGCTCCCAGCACAGGGAGAAAGGGGCTGTTTTGTTATGGCGAAGCTGGATCTTGCACGAGAAGATGGCAGGAGCTGTCAGGGCACCCCCAGCAGAAGGATGGGGGTGGGTCTCCCCTAGTCCACCCTAAAGGTGCAAACGCTGGGAGGCTAAAATGGCAAGAAACGGGGCTGGAGCATCACCAGCGCTGGGATTTTCTGCCTCCTAGAAAGCTGATGCCGTCAGCCTCGGAAGCTGATGGGATGGCGGGTGGGCTGCTAGGGTCCCTGTGGCACGGGGACATGAAGGTGTCCCCTACCATCCCCCCCTGGCCTGGTACACCCAGGAGGAGCAGAAGCTCCTCTGAGATGTGCAAAGCACCACGGTGCAACGGGCCCTTCCCAGCCCTCGGGCCGCCGGTGCTCTGCCTCCCGCAGCGAGGGGAGGTTTGGCTCCAAATCCATCCTCCGTGAGCGCCGCTTGGAACCCGACTGATTTTTCCACATCGTGACTGAGGAGAAAGTCATTTAGTCCCTGTTGGTTTTGCTGTTCATCCTTCAAGGAATTTGCTGCCATTGAGCAGATCACCTCAACCTTCAGCCCAGCCCTGGCATAAAACAGAAGCATCCACGGCCGCCTGATTGATCGAACGTTACTGGTGCTTCCGTTAAATAATAATAATTTAAAAAAAAAAAATCTAAAAAATGTCCAAGCCAGCTGTTTTGCACAATAAGGCTCTGCTTTATTTTTTAACAATGAAAGTGTAATGAAAGTTAAATTAACAGTGTAACGGTTGGGCTGTAACGGCTGCATGCTAAATGCTGGGGTTTGTCTCTTTATCTCTTGCTCTTTTTTTTTTTTTCCCCTCTCCTTTTCCTCCTGAGGATTCAGTAATTTGCTCGTGATCATATAAAAGCAATGATGTTATGAATTTACTGAGGATCCTGCTGGCAGGGATATTATAAGTGAATTGTGCTGCATTTGCAGCTGATTAAAATCGAGATCAGCATTTTTCAAATTATCTCGGGAAAAGGCTGGGTGTGCAGCTCCCCCCCCCCCTCTGCTGTCAACTCCCTTTTGTAGGAAATATAAACAATCAGGGTAATCATTTCTGCGGAGAAACGCAGCTTGCCATTTTTCGGGAGCGGCTCAGCGGATATTTTGCCGGGGAAACTCGCAGTCCCTAATTGCTTTCAAACCGACACGGGGTTGTTTTTGCCATTTCTTACCTATTTCCACCTCCTCCCCGTTTCGGAGTAACCTCCCTTGAGTAATAAACTTTTAACTGGATTTCTAATTGACTAGCAGCTTTAAACAAATGCAAACCACAGCAGAAACTTTAATAGATCCATGGGGTTTTTTTTTTTTTGAAAGGCTGAATTTAGTGAGTGTGCCATGAGGTGGGGAGGAGAGAGGTGCCTTTTGGAGGCACCCACCCTCTTGGCAATTAGCAGCTCCTGTGATGCTCCTCGCAGCTCCCATCCACCTTAACCAGCAAGGAACGGCGGTAAAGGAATGGGTGGAAGGGCTCATCTTGACAGTAATTCCCACTTTTATCCCGTCGGGAGCACAGGTTGATCTCTTGGTAGCCTCAGGATGTGAAAGCAGGAGGAGGAGGAGGAGAAGGCATGCGAGGCCGTGCCATGGCTGCAGGCTGAGCGGTGCCCCAGGGTTTATCTGTCCTGTCTGATGGGGTACGGGCTCAGGCACCCCTTGGACATCCTCTTTGCAGGAGCAGGTTTGCATCTTTTCGGTGAACAGGTTGGTGCCTGAGTGGCTTCCAGGGCAGGGACTGGTTCATGGGGAAGGGTTGTGTCCCCATGGGACAAAGATGTGTTGACTGCACTCATTTAGGGTGGTAAAGTGATGGCTCTGGGTTCCCCGGCAGTAGCACCAGGCAGAGCTGGCTGTAAATGAGGGATGGTTTGGAACAAGTACATCAGCCTTGGGTAACATCAGGGTCCCACGTCAGGCAGCCCAACCTGCCTTCTTTGCCCTCAATGAGGCACCAAACACACGGTTTGGGACACCACGGGGACCTGCTTCTGCTGTTAAGTGTGAGTGTGATGGGACCTCCCCGGTCTTTCCCTCTTGCAGGATCCACCCTGGTTCTCTTTGTCTCTTTTGAAGGGACAGTCGTAGCTCTTCATTTCCCATCTGCTCTTTCCATCAACAAAGCACCTACCACATAAGGTCCAGATGAGATGCCCAAA